TCCACTCCTGTTTATCAGATCTGGGCCACAAATAAGCCAAAGCAATATCACACATTAGCCAGAATTCAACCAAATGAACCAGAACTTTCTCTATTCTGGGCCACAGTTTGCTTTTATTCTGGCCCAGATCTGCCCACACCAGACACTTACATCTGGACCACATACTAAATGGAATGATGGCTCTAGGGTGGTCCACTCCTGTTTATCAGATCTGGGCCACAAATAAGCCAAAGCAATACAAAATATCAGCCAGAATTCAACTACATTAACCAGAACTGACCCTATTCTGGGTCACAGTTTGCTTTTATTCTGGCCCAGATCTGGCCGACACCTTACACTTGCTGGGTGTGGCAAAGTACAAAAATCCCAGCATGCATTGCAGTATGAATACAATCTATAGCTTATTGATCCTCCATTTATGTTGACGTTGTTGATTTTGTCACTTTTAGTCTCCTGTTTGTGATTTTTGTTCAATTTGTTAATTGTCACCGCTGTTGAGGTTCATACGCTGATTATTGATGTCTTCGTGAGCAGAAATTGAACCATAGAATTTTTTTAGCTAATAATATTACTTCTAATATTGGATAAACATTGGTGAACATCAGTAAATTACATTATTTCATCACAGGTTGTGCCTCACTTAATATATACATATATATATATATATATATATATATATATATATTTTTTTTTTTTTTTTATTTGGCTTGTATGCTGTAATGAATAAACGTTTCAAGCAAAGTTCTTAAAAGTTCCAGCAGCACAAAAGAAAGTTTAGGTTAAGAGATTCAGGGCTATGAGCCCAACTAAAGCAAACTTTTCTTCATGATGGTGACTTTAGTCTATGTGGTCCACATATGTTTTAGGAAAACTGGGCCACATTTGCCATATCTTCTCTGGGCCAGTATATAGGCTCAAATCCACATTAACCAGAGCTTACTGTGTCGAATATTCGCCAAAAGTGGCCCACATTTGTTTTAGGATAACTGGCTTGTTTATCTTTTTGTTGAAAACGAACTACAGCCACATGAAGATCATTAAACTTCCTTAAAAGGATTTCACCGGGATAAGAAAGAGCAGGAGAGCTAGTTTAATGCTTTACTGTTTATGGGGCACGTTTATTATCCTGCGCTAATTATAATACAAAATTCCCAATACTAATCTGCTTTAAATGTTTAGAATTCTTCGCTACATCATTAGGCCGACATTAAATGGAGAAAAGCGGTGTACTTTGTACTACCGACCAGTGGTGTGGTGAGAGCGACATCTCGCGGGAAAATCGAGCATTGCACGCAGGGATCTGACTAGAAGTGCTTGAGGATGTCGTTCGGATGCAAGGTTTGTTACACCGATTAACCAGATAGACTCAAGAAAATCTTAAATACGCCGCACAATACTATAAGATAAATTTTCCTTTTTTGTTGACATTGAGTAAAAATATTTGTTTATTTTTAAGACTGTAAGAATTCAGTAGAGTAAGTGAAAAATAGAATTATGTAACAATAATTAATTAAATGATTCAATCATTTTGGTACTGTATTCTTGAATTTTATCCAACTGTTTATTTTACATAATATTGGTATGATAGTGGGCGGCATGGTGGCTCAGTGGTCACTGTCGCCTCACAGCAAGAAGGTCGCTCGTTCAAGTCTTGGCTTGGTCAGTTGGCATTTCTGTGTGGAGTTTGCATGTTCTCCCTGTGTTCACGTGGGTATCTTCTGAGTGCTCTGGTTTCTCCCAAAATTCAGAGACATGGCCTAAAGGTGTATTAAATAAAAATAAATTAGCCATATATGAGTTTGAGTGTGAATGACAGTGCATGGGTGTTTTACTGTACTGGGTTGCTTCTGGAAAGGCATCCTCTGCATAAAACTTTTCCCGGAATAGTTGTCAGTTTATTCTGCTGTGGCGGGCCCTGATAAATAAGAGACTAAGCTGAAGGAAAATGAATGAAGGAATGGTATTATAGTTTGGTTTTGTCAATATACAGTATCAGGACACCTATATCCATTGTAGTGCTCTTTTACAGTTGCTTTTTTAATTGTTTTTTAGGGAGAAAGTTTTATCATCATTATCTGTCACTGGTTCGAGCCTCTGCTGGGTCAGTTGGCATTTCTGTGTGGAGTTTGCATGTTCTTACTGTGTTCGCATGGGTTTCCTCCGGGTGCTCCGGTTTCCCCCACAAGTACAAATACATGCGGTACAGATGAATTGGCTAGGCTAAATTGTCCGTTGTGTATATGTTTGAATGAGTGTGTATGGATGTTTCCCAGAGATAGGTTGCAGCTGGAAGGGCATCCGCTGCGTAAAACATATCCTGGATAAGTTAGCGGTTCATTCCGCTGTGATGAACCCAGAATAGATAAGGGACTAAGCCGAAAAGAAAATGAATGAATGAATTTATCATCTTTCAGGGGATATCGGATGAAAAATAGCCTTTGGGATCAATATGGTGAATTTGCAGCAATGTTAGTTAATATACAGCAACACTGTGCCTACCCTATGAACCAATAAGTAAATTAGAATTTTATTTTTTATCCATTTATTTGCATCAGGCCTGTAGCCAGAGGGACAGACCCCTTACTGACAAAGTTTCAGAATTCGTCTCATACATGAGCTCATTTGTTCTATTTTGACTGCTATGACATCATGGTGAGAATAACTCATCAAAAAAGGCTTTAAGACAAAGCAGAATCCTCTGTTGGCTGTTGCTTCCGTGTGACTTTAGCTAATCAGTTTTGGCCAATACAAACAAATGTTTTAATTTTATAATCTAATATAAAAGCAGTCATCTTTCGTTATTTTTATTGTTTTTAAATAGAGAAAACATTTTACAAATAACTTTATTGTAAATCTTGGAGCTTATTCTTGAAACAAGAATGACCAGTAAAGAGGTGTGAAGCACCACAAGCGGCCCATATCAAATTAAATTGAATGCTATTTTGGCTATTGCTGTTATCCATGAACTTTCAAATGTACTTTTTATTTACAAAAGAGGCTAAAAAAATTACGTTTAACATCACCATCATCATCAACATCATCATCATAATTTTTCATTCATTTTCTTTTTGGCTTTATTTATCAGGGGTTGCCACAGCGGAATGAACTGCCAACTTATCCAGCATGAGATTTACATAGCACCCTTTCAGCTGCAACTTATCACTGGGAAACACCCATACATTCTTGCATTCACACTCATTCACTACAGCCCATTTGGCTAACCCAATTCACCTGTACTGCATGTCTTTGAATTTGTGGGGGAAACCGAAGCACGCAGAGGAAACCCATGCAAACTGGGAGAAAATGCAAACTCCACACAGAAATGCCAATTGATTCAGCCGAGGCTCGAACCAGCAACCTTCTTGCTGTGAGGCAATCATGCCACCCACTGCGCCACTGTGTTGCCTCTATTATTATTATTATTATTATTATTATTATTATTATTATTATTATTATTATTATTATTATTATTATTATTATTATTATTATTATTATTATGTTTTAATTATTTTTATTGAAATGACCCAATTCTGACTGAGAAAAGTTGAATGTGCTGGCCAGGGTGTTATTTGCCTATAGACTACAGTTTTTAATTTAAAACTTTAACAAATTCCTTTTTTTTCTAATGATATATGATGTAATGAATTTGGGCAGCATCGTGGCACAATAGGTAGCACAATCGCCTCACAGAAAGAAGGCTGATGGTTCAAGCCTCGGCTGGGTCAGTTGGCATTTCTGTGTGGAGTGTGCATGTTCTCCCAGTGTTCATGTGGGTTTCCTCCAGGTGCTCTGGTTTCCCCCACAAGTCCAAAAACATGTGCTACAGGGGAATTGGGTAAGCTTAAAATTATCTGTAGTAGATGATTGCTTATGAGTGTTTCCAAGTGATAAGTTTGTGGTTCTTTCTGCTGTGTCGACCCCAGATTAATAAAGGGACTAAGCCAAAAAAAAAAACGAATGAAAATAAGTATTTATTTATATTTCTTTTTTCTAAATTTTCAGGAAATTGTTTGGTTCATTAATAAGTGTTTTTATGATGATCATCCGACTAGCTAATCCAGCAAAAAATAAAAAAAATCGCAACAGCTTAAAATGTCACTTAAATGCAGAATTTAACTCTTATTATTGGATAAAAAATTAGGCGTATAACTGCAAAAAGGTCCACTTTTTGAGAAAAAAAGAACCACCCCGTTCATCAGGCATCTTAGGGCCTTAAAAGAGGACTGTGGACACTATAGGGACATTTTCATAAAATGACTGAGAACTGCAGATCTAGAATTAGCATTTAGGCCTGAACAGCTGGTTCTTTGGAGTGTGTCTTGTTGTTAAACTAGTCAAGCACCCCAAAACACTAATGTATGTTGGGTTTGTTGGATGTTTCTTATCACATTGGGGACATATAGGGCACTTTAAAAATGTTAATCACAAGTTAAGAAGTGCTTTTAGTGGTTCAAATGGCTTAGTCTAAAATTCCTCGATGAAACCTTCTTGTTGAAATATTGTGTCAGTCAGCGGCCGATAGATGGCAGTATTGCCCTCCATCTCCGACACAATCTGGTTCTATTAGATCTAATGAATATTATATTAAAAGTAAACTTATTTTATCACTATAAAACAGTCTTTATTCCCTGATTCCGTTTAAAGTGATAAAAAAACAGCATTTACGTTGTAGGTCTACTTACAAAACAAACATATATATGGCTAGTGATCAGCACATTTCTCGAATAAATGAGGTCATCAAATAACCGATGTAATACATTTCAGTGATTAAAAAACAAAAACATGTGACGGGGGAAAAGGACATGTCAGGGCATCGCTACAACTTGCTTCCTGAGGAAGTAAACTTGAAAATGCTGCTCATTTGTCGGACAAACCGCTCATGTCTCCTACCAGGACCGAGCGACACGACGGTCCCCTGACTGACGTTCCCTTCCGCCAATCAGTTGAATGGATGTGTGGCGACTCTCCAATCACAGCACAGGCAGGGCGGGGCTTTCTCGGAATAGCCTCTTCACTATTACGTCATGCGCGAACAGCTGGTCCGTTGCAAGAGCTGAAAATGTGGACAAGCGTAGCGATATAAAAATCGCGTCCGTGCCGTCGGGGCGTAAACAGTCAGTTTATCACGATGTGGTGGCTGGAAGGGTTTCGGTCGGGGACGCGCCGCCTGGAGATCCTGTTGCTTGTTTACACCTTGCTCTGCTGTGTCGGAGGTGAGTCGCTCAGTGAGGGCTGAAGTGAGATCTCTATCTTGATGCAGTGGAGCTGTCCTTTGTGCTGGTGCTGAACTGAACTACTTCACTCTGTGCTCCGGCACATCCGTACAGCCTGTGCCACATTCAGCGCTGCTGCTGCACTTTGGCCACACAGCAGGGGGAAAGCGTTTGTTTTTAGCACTGCTGTCTTATTTGTGTCTTCATGTTGTCCTGAGCTCATGCCCGAGAATAAAGCGCACACTACAGTCAGTCAGTCAGTGAGCGAGTGAGTGAGTGTGCTACATTCTTCAGGAGCTTCGCGCGAGAAGTGGACGCTTCTTTATTTCTCGCAAGACATATATATATGGCATTAATATCTGAGCAAAGTAATTGTGTATCATGTTCCGTATCGTAACACACTTTATTGCTTTAAACCCCCAGGGTTTGCTGGCCTAAATTGTTTTAAATCAGTTTTTATTGTATTGTCGTCAGTTTTAGTTTAACGTGATTTCGACAATATCAGTTGCCTTCGGGAAATATGTAGGCCAATTATCCAATTATTGCTTTTTAATGTGAGTGTGTTAGTCTCAGACTTACCTCTAGTCATCAGACGCTTGATAGCGCTAGAAGAGCGCCGAGTTGTTTCTTGTTGTTTATCTGGAGATGTTCTTGTAGATCGCATCGATAGGGAAGTTAATCTGGCTGCCAGAGCAAGACAATACCTGCGCTGCTCTGCCTGAAAGCGCGTCTGATGGATGCTGTCGGCTCGACTTCATCTCCGGCACTGAATTCACATCTCTTGCTGTGCTTAAGTACGACAGACACTCAGGTGGTCCGTTGGCTTTTGGGCTGCGTTTTACTACATTCCATCACACAACATGTTGTATCATTAAGAACTGCTTTATTTTTTATGGTTAGTTTTTTTGCATTTATATAATATATGGAAACCTGACAAGGTTACAGTTGTTTATTTGAGGAACAAGTGGAAATCAAAATTATTAAACCCCCTTGGATTTTTTTCTTTTTTAAATATTTCCCAAATAATGTTAACAGAGCAAGGAAATTTTCACAGTATGCCTGATAATATATTTTCTTTTTAAGCAGGTTTTAATTTTTCAAAAGCCATTTTAAGGTCAAAATTATTAGCCCCTTTAAGCTACTTTTATTTTCAATATAGGACAAACCATCGTTAAACAATAACTTACCTAATTATGCTAACCTGCCTAGTTAACCTAATTAACCTAGTTAAGCCCTTTAAATGTCACTTTAAGCTGTATAAAATTATCTTTATAAATATCTAGTCAAATATTATTTACTGTCATCATGGCAAAGATAAAATAAATCTGTTATTAGAAAGGAGTTATTAAAACTATTATGTTTTTAATTGTGTTGGAAAAAAAATATTTTCTCTGTTAAACAGAAATTTGGGGAAAATAAAAAGGGGGCTAATAATTCTGACTTCTGACTTCAACTGTATATTGCTGAAAACTGAACTGAAGTATTTTACATGGTTAAATCTTCTTCTTCATCATCTTCTTCTTCTTCTTCTTCTTCTTCTTCTTGTTATTATTATTATTATTATTATTATTATTATTATTATTATTATTATTATTAAACAATGTTTTTATCCATTTTCTCTTTTTTTGACTGGATGAGCTGTCAGAGGTTAAGAATGAACTGAAATGGTAAAAAATTGAAACCTATTGATTTTAGTTATGATGATGAGTAGAAATAATGTTTTTTTTTTTTTGGAAACCAAAAGCAATTAATTTAGAATTAATAGTGGAATGGTGAGACATTTTATTTTGTAGAACCTTATTTGGTAATCTTTGTAGAATTTGTACATTTTTTAAAACATATATTCATAAAGGCTGCATCACCGAAGCTCATAAAGTGTCAATTTATTAAATTAAAAAGGCTGATATAAGGCCTTGTATTAGCCTTTTTAATTTAATAAATTGATATTTTTGGAGCTTTGGTGTTACCGCCTTTATGAATATATATTTTGCACTTTTCTGCTGCTTGGCTGATTTAAAGTAATGTGTGTGCATGTCTACATTTTTTTTACACTTTAAAAAACCTCCTTATTTTACTACAAAAGTACAGTGCATGTGCATCATGGGGGTCGAGAAAAATGTTTTGATATCCAGTAAATACCTTTTTATTATTTATCGTCAACTTCACTGTTGATGAGATTCATAATGCATGAGCAATTCATAAACATCACTTGATTAACAGGGCATCCGACGCGTTGCAAAGAGATACGCCAGTCACAGGACTTGGCTGTGCGCTAGCATTGATCACAGTATTGACAAGCTGCAGGAAAGGAGTGATGCTCTTAGGCTAGCACAAAGGAGCAAGACCAATGAGCCATCAGGTCTCATGGGAGAACGAGTCAGAGCAGACCAAAGAAAACAGTTCAATGTGACAGACGTAGACAAAGAGCCGTGCTGCGACTCGGTGAGCGGGAGAGAGAAGAGTCCCTCAGCCGACTCTGAGTCTGTCTTTCTGCCTCACTCTTTTGGTCTGGAATCTGCAACCGTCGCTCACACTCTTACTGTTTTGACCTGGTTTGGTCAGACCCTTTGTTCTTTTGTTACTTCTGTCTGGGCATAAGATGTGTTGGCGCATGGATGATTTTATGATCTTGTACAGTCGCACACAATTGTAATATGTTAAGATCAAATCTTTGCTGGTTTGCTGTGGAACTAGTGCAGTTGATTGCTTCAAAAAAGTATCTATCTATCTATCTATCTATCTATCTATCTATCTATCTATCTATCTATCTATCTATCTATCTATCTATCTATCTATCTATCTGTCTGTCTGTCTGTCTGTCTGTCTGTCTGTCTGTCTGTCTGTCTGTCTGTCTGTCTGTCTGTCTGTCTGTCTGTCTGTCTGTCTGTCTGTCTGTCTGTCTGTCTGTCTGTCTGTCTGTCTGTCTGTCTGTCTGTCTGTCTGTCTGTCTATCTATCTATCTATCTATCTATCTATCTATCTATCTATCTATCTCTGTCCATAAGTATCAATCAATCAATCAATCAATCAATCAATCAATCAATCAATCAATCAATCAGTTTATGTGTCAAAGTGCTTTATTATTGTGTTTGTGAGGGAGACTTTTATAACTTTTATAACGTTTAAAACTAAGCACACTTGTGTGATCTCATTATGCTGAGACATGACCCGTGAAGGGAAGCTTTGCACTGAGTGGTGGTACATTACTTAACGCTCACATTTACTGCGCAAGAAAATAGCGCATTAGTATTGAGCTGAACGCAGGTAAATTCATGAGGATGACAGCCGTTGTTGAAACAGGAGCAGCTCATCTGTAGCTATACATGCTGTTTAATGTTGAAGATTAATTTCTGTTCTGGAACCAGTAGCTTAATTGTAATGTCTGTTTGTTAGCCAGACTGTCTAGTTGGGCTTGGGATTTATTTATTTTCTTTTTAGATCGAGTACAGAAAGTTTATAAGTAAAACAGGTCTGCCATTACAATTTTTGAAAAGAGAGACTATCAAATATTGTGTCTTACTTCATATCGTCATATCGCAAATGTGAACCATGAATTCACTGTGTGTGTGTGTGTGTGTGTGTGTGTGTTGGTTTTTTAAATGTGAAACAAATATAATAATATAAACAGAGATGAAACATCCTATATAAGTTTATCTACTTAAAGAGGTCACATGATCTGTTTACAGCACACAACTGTTTCAGATAACAAAATAATAATATATTGCCAATATCAAATTAAATGATCTTTTATACTGTAATTGTTTTCGCAGTGTTGTAAACAGCCTCATGGCCTATTGTTTGTTGCTTTAAAATATACTTTTTATTTAGTCAGGAAAATAATTATTGTTTTTGATATGGCAATAACAAAAGTAATACTATTTCACAGTTATTCATTAATTGTAGGATCATACTGGGTAATCTCAGTTACTCGAGATAACAGTGATATTGTCACCTTGGAATTATGAGGTTCTATCTGCATTCTGAATAATTTTGAGATATTGAGCTTCATTCTCAATCTCATACTCATATCTTACCAGTTTTAGCATCCCTTCATTGGCTTCTTGTTAACATTACTTATTGTTTTAAAGCATTGAATGGGCAAGCACCTTCTTATATATCTGAACTTATTAACCTACAGTCAACTCCTCGGTCCCTTAGGTCATCGAATAAAATTTTACTACAAATTCCTCGGTCACGACTTAAACTGAAAGGAGATTTTTTTTGCAGTCGCTGCTCTGTTTGTGGAACCAGCTGCCACCAGACATTACGAGTGCTTCTTCTCTCTCTATTTTTAATACACATTTTTATTCTATTGCCTTCCCAGGCTTCTAATCTGTATTGCGCATTGTTGCTGTCATACTACTATTCTTATTATGACTTTTTTGTTATTTTTCGGTTTATAATGTGTGCTATGGTTTTGTGCAACACTTTGGTCAGTGCCAAACTGAAGTTAAATGTGCTTTATAAATACACTTTACCTACTTCAAAGTTTTTTTCATTCCATATAGCAAACAGTATGTGTGTAACATTTTTTAAAAAAATAAAAAGTCTTAAAATGTAAACAACATATTAAAACATACCATAATGTAAATAAGTTGTCATTTAATAAGAATATATCAATAACGTAATTGTGACAGAAATGTCAGATAGAACCTTATAATTCTAAGGTGACATCTTGTTATAATAATGATGTTAGTTTGAAGAAAGGGACATTTTAAGTGTATAAACAAAGGCGATTAAGGATAGATTTGTGAGAAAAAGAGTAATGTTCATGTCACTCCATATATTCTTAGTGCTTAAGGTTTTAAAAATAAGTTTTAATAATGATTCAAGAAGAGGTGAAAAAAATGCTTATTTAAAAACAATAAAACACTGCTTTTACAATAATAAACACTGCTGTAAAGTACACAAAGCCAGTCAGAGATCTTCCGTATATCTTTTATTGTATTATAATACATTATAATAGAAACAAGAATGGAGAGAGTATTGATTTGACTTTT